GATTTACTTGCATCAAAGCGGGAATTGAGACTAGAGTGTAATGGTAAGGAATTTTTTATCCCAATTAATATGCATAAAGTCAAGAATAAGCTCGAGGTGAATTGTGCGACCACTACTTCCAAATGTGATGAATCCTCAACCCCGAACTGTATTTCGCAAGATTTAAGTGAGGACGACTTATTAAAAAAAAAGTGAGTTATGAGGAGCTTGAAAAAATGCTATATAGCACTCTTAAGTATAATTCAGAAATCAATAAGTTTTGCGAAAATCTTCTTAGGGAATAGGTGAGTTATTTTCAGGATAACGCTTCTTTTTTTCATCTAAAATTTTTGTGCTTTTTTCAACCATCTTCTCATACAATGTATCCATATTGTTTGTATCCTTCTTTGAAGTTGGGATTGGCTGAGTCTCAATAGATGGTGCTGGCAAAGCTAATGCGGATTTGGACTTCGATTTCTTTCCTCCAGTCTTTTTCGCCTTACTACCTAAAATAGCATCTCCTTCTGAAGCTGGATCGATAGATTTGCTAGACTCGACCTCAGTATCTCGCATCACATTTTCCAGTGCTGTGATCGTAGAATCATATTTATTTTGAAAATTAGCTTCATTCTGTTTATCTATAACATTTGTACTTGGGGGACTACTACATCATTCCATTGAATCCTATTAAACTCTTGTCCTCTCCAAATTTGATATAAGCGACTATTTGATATATTATATTTTTTACTTAGCTGAGCCAAAGGCTTAGACTTCATATCTCGGTATTGCATGATATCTTTGTAATCTGCAGGAGATAAGTAACTAGCCCTGGAACTAATATATGTTTTAAGCGAAGGTATGATCATAATAGTAGCTAATCGCTAGAGATTTTTTTTTACTATAAATAAAAAATGTATAAAAAAAATATCAGTAATACTGGTATTATGCTAGTATCAGTAATACGGTAGTATCGGTAGTATCGGTAGTATGCTAGTATCAGTAATATGGTAGTATTAGTAGTATATACAGTATTATGCATAGTACGCTAGTATCAGTAATACGGTAGTATCAGTAATATTCATAAAAATAATAAAGTGCTTTGCTTTAGCACCTTCGGCCAGAGATTTTTCTGCGCATTTTTTTCCTGCCATATAACCATGCCAAGATTATGTCCAATGTGCATACATTGAAAGATATAAAAAATAGAGGACATCGGCTGGGTAGTGCATATGAGCAAGAACTCGAAAAAAAATTAAGAACCGCTATCGATTTTAACTCTGGAATTACCGATTTCAATGAAAAGTTGCAGGCTGAGTATTCAGAGCGAGAAAAGGAGTTTGAAAATAAAGCTAGCCAGTTAATTGCGTCTACCGCTAAAGTTAGATCCCAGCTTATTTCCGAACGAAAGTCTCATTCTAAGAGTCAACGTGAGCTTGAAGCCAAATATACTGCCGAAATCCAATCGCTCAAATCAGAGATTAAAACACTGAAGAGAGAGGGAACTTTGGCCCAGAAAACTTCGTCCGCTGACAAGATCAAGATTCTTTCTCTTGAAACTAAAGTACGTGAATTAGAAGGTAAGTTGGATGACTTAGAACTAGAACAGGTGCTCCATGATTTGAATGCAGTGGGAGGGATGATAGAGGAGCCGGCCCAAATAAACTCATCTGATCCTAAAGAGATCGATTCTCTCAGGCTTGAATTGGATCGAGTGAAGGAGGACCTTAATTCGAAAGAATATACAATAGAATGTATGGAAAAAGGGAAAGAGTCGTCAGATAGTATGTACAAACGGGAAATAGAAATTCTGTCTTCAGGGCGATTAAAGTTAATAGATGAAAATAGGTCCCTCAGGGACCATTTAGCGTTAAAGAAAGATAATGAAGTAGATACTCCACCCCCACCTATAAACAATTTAAAAGAAAATGAGAGTGAACAGGTCCCAAAAGAATTACAACTTTTCGCTCTTAATCCTCCACCCTCCCAAATATTTTCCGCAGGTGGTGTAGAAGCGGTGTCTTTACCAGCAACTGCTCCTA